GGTTTTTTTACAATTACATTATTTTTAAAAGGACAATAACTATTTTATTTTTTACAATTATCTTTTTGTTATTATTTGAAAGAAGGAAAATTAGTGTTAAATTTATATAAAAGAATAATTACTATTTTCTAAGAAAAACAACTTTTCCTTTTTAAGGTTTTTTTACAATTACGATTTATTTTTTTAAGGATAATTACTATCTTTTAAAAAAAGGTAATTACTATTTTTTAATTATTAATTGATTTGTATTTTAACATATATCATAAACTTAAATGTATAATCGCTTATGCGTCCCAATCGTGTTAATTAGTAACTTGAAAAAATTTAAGGTTTATGTAATAAGATATACAAATCAATATCAAAATAACATTTATTTTCATTATAATTGATATATATATATAGTTCCGTGTATTGCACGGGAGGTAATACTAGTTATAATTATACACAACCAAAGCAAAGCAAGGCAATAGAGAAGATTTGGAGGAAAACCCTAATTGTTCGTTCGTTCAAATGCGGGGAGCGAGAGTTGGAAGGAGGATGCGCGAGCTTGGGGAGACGACGAGGGTGGTTCGGATAAGATCACTTAAGGAGAAGGAGCTAGGGGAGACGACGAGCGGGGTTCGAAAAAGATCACTGAAGGCGGTTCTATCTAGTTGCAAAAGGTGGGAGGCATCAGTTTTGGGTGAAGCAGCAGCAGGGCCGCATGAGTTTCTGGGGTTCGTGACGATGAACACCAAGGTCTACTCTCTGAGGTTCCATCGAGACGAAGAAGAAAATTTGGTTGATGTGTCGTTAAACCAGGTAGATTTGCTTAATGAATGGAAGGTCTCAAAGGTATATCACTGCGATGGGTTGGTGTTATGCGTGGCGGTGGCGGAGGAAGACGACCCGAAGCTGGTGTTGTGGAACCCTTATCTGTGTCAGACAAGGTGTGTCGGACCTAGAGAAAAGTTCAACGTAAGAGACAGGCACGCGATCGGATACGGATACGACTCCAAGAAGAAGCAGCGCGACCACAAAATCCTGAGGTTTGTGGATGATAACATCTTTGTGTATGATTGGCGCCGACCAGAATGCATACGCGAGGTCGGGTACGAAATCTATGACATTAGGTCTGATTCATGGAGGGTCCTCGAGGTGGTGAAGGAACCCGTGGTGTGGAGGATTGATATGAATCAGCGAGGCGTCTCTGTCAACGGAAACGCCTTCTTTTTTGCTCATTATTATGCAAAAGATGATCCCCATCATGTCGAACACGTGACAGAGGTCCAAGTTTTCTTACTCTGTTTTGATTTTACCAAAGAGAGCTTCGGACCACGCCTCCCTCTCCCTCCTTTTCTCTCTGAAAGTGGTGACGCTGTTGGTGACTGTGTCACCCTCTCAACCTTCCTTAGAGGAGATGATGAGCAGCTTGCCCTCCTCTTTGGTGGTTTTGAAACTGGCTTTTTTGAGATTTGGGTTTCCCTTACTGTTCACCCCAACCATGTCTCCTGGAGCAACTTTTGCCTTGTGGAAACCGGTCCTCTTTCTCTTAAGCTCAACCATCTTTTTGGTGGGAGCTTCTTTGTTGATGAGGAAAACAAAGTTGCTGTCTTGTTTGAACTAGACCCAACCAAACAACACACGGCTTTTGTGTTTGGACAAGACGGCTACTTAAAGTCCTCCGTTAACCTCGGACAAGTTGCTCCCATACTCGAATACCGTTCCCGCATTACCAACCTCCTCTATAAAGATGCTCGTCCCCCACTTGTTTGCTCTTCCCCTTATCGTCCAAGCTTAGTGCAACTCAACCACCAACCCCACAAAAGGAAAAACAGAGATGCTGATCAAGTGTAAGTTTATTATGATTTAGTATAAGATTTCTGCTTGGAATTCACTTTGACATGAATGTTTGGGTTTTCACAGGTTAAATTGAGAGCATGTTTATCTGACCACGTTTGAGTTGTGGAAACTCTTTGCTTTTGTTTTATCGCAGCCCCTCCCTCTATGTAATCTCTTTTATCGACCAGACTTGCTTCTAACACTATTAATTTATATGATTATGTTTAAAAAAGCTCTTGTGTTTTTTGACATTACCCCTATCTTGTTTTTAGGTAGGATAAGGTAAGAGTAAAACAAATAATAATTAGAAAATAAAAGGTGGAAATCAGCGATTAATACTTTCCATCTTCCAAAACCATGAGATAAAAAAAAGTAACTTATTTCTCTAGTAACCAGCGTCAGGGTATTAAAAAATCATTAAATTGTGTTTCACCTGATTGGTATAATTTGAGCTAAAAGTGGAGTAAATATTTTTCAGCTATAATATTAACGCTATTTGTGTCTTTCAATCACACTTTAAATCTCAAGTGAAAGACACGAAGAGTGTATATAATACTCCACTTAATATGAAAAGGAGAGAGAGAGTATATAAATCTTTTAAAAATTATAAATTAATAATTACTGTATATAACCTTCTAAAACTTATATATAACCATTAACAAAATAATTTGTTTGTTTTATTTTAAATAAAACAAATATCTTTCATGTCTATATTAGATATCTATATATATATATATATATAATTGTAATCTCTCACAAGGACATTTAATATGTATTAATCTAAATTAAAGATAAAATAATTAGATCTTTGGTATTTCAAGCAATTGTAATATGTAATATGTAAAATATGTATTATGTATTAACCTAAACTAAAAGTAAAATAATTAAGAAAATGAAAAGTTCACAGAAAAAAAGTAGAGTCTTTTTCTGTTTTCTCTCATCAGTCTTTTTCCGGTGATTCCTTCTCTTTTTCTGTCGAAGCCGACGACTTCTTCTCTATTACAGTCGACATCCTTTCGTCTGTTCCTTCTCATTTCGCCACCGTCCCTTTGATTGACAAGAACCCTAGTTTTGATTTGAGTTTGTTTTGAAGGCGAAAAATTGAAACTGTAAATGCTCAATCTATTTAATTCTGAGTTGTTATTACACGTTTTTAACATAGATTGTTTGATTCAGTGTTTAATTTCAGAAATTATAATTCCCAATTTTAAATCCTTTTTGATTTTGAAGTGGCCAAATTGGTTTTGTTTTTCGAAAAGTTTCCCTGATTTCCGACAAAACCCTTGAACTATAAGCCACATGGTACCTTTGACAATATATAAATAAAAGTCTTTTCATGGTTCCTTGTTAGTGTAGATAATATTGTTGTGTTTTAGTGTGTTCAGTGGGCTTATGTTGTGTGATTTGAGTGTTTGTTTTTCCAGTTATGTGTTTGTGTTTGAACGACAAAACCTTCACTTGTTTTTTCTATTTTGGAAGATTGAACCAGCACTACGAATCAACATTCCCTACAAAGTATCTATTTTTTTTTCATAAATTGTGTTATGCGAATTTCATTTAACTGAATGTGATTGATTTTTGTAGATATGATTTCTTTTTTCTGGTATGAGATAGAAAGTATCCTCCTCATCTGTATGAACTTGACAAAACGCCAGTTCAGATTAGGAGCATGAACCATAGTTGTCACTTGGCCAACATTCAAACGGTATTGGAAACTGTTAGCGATGATGTTGTAGGTGAGTTGAGAGAATCAGTTGTTGGAGTGATTGTGAAGCTGAAAGAGTTGGAGTACATTTGGTCCACTTCTTGTGTTCACCATTTTCTCGCCAATCAATTGGCCATCAAAAGCAGCCATGAAATGTGGTCCTTGATAGACTGTATGCCGTTGCGGTTCTCTTTGTATGAGTTTGAAGAGATTACAAAACTAAATTGTGATCTTTTTGACATGAATGATGGTTTCGATGTGAATCATGAACCATTTTGGCTGGAGATGAATGTTCCCCTTTTCGGAAGGACCTGCACTGAAAAAGCTAGAAGACATTCTTTCTATTTGCTGAAATTGGTCGCGAGAGAAGCGTTTAATGATTGGTTTACTGGGTCTGCTATCCATTGGAAAACTCTACACGCAGACGAAAGTTCTCAACTTTACAAAGACCCAAAAATACATGAAACTATCTATCGTTTCCAATTTCCACAGCTGTTGTATCCACGCTTTGATTTTGTCGATTTTGCTTCAGAAATAGATACCTCACTTCTAAGTAGTTTTCTGCAAAATCAACTTAGTAATCCTCAAATATAACTTTTACATAATTTTCAAATTTAGTTTCTGCGAATTTCTTCATTCGCAACAACTAATCTGCTACCATTCTCATTATCTACTTCAAAGAACCACTTTGTTTTCTTAATTTTCAACTTCCCAGACATAAGAATTATGTGATTCATTATCCAATTAAAAGACACACTTGTTAATCACCATGAACCTGGAAAACATGTTCTTGTGTGAGAAGCAACATGAAGAACACGACAAAAAGAGAAGAGAAGAGAAGGTAAGCCCTAAATTTTTATCGTGGTAATGTAACTTAATTTAAACCAAAATTGTTAAAGCGAAAGATTAAATTGATTTAAACTAAATTTAAAAATCAATATAGTCAAAACTATGTTAACTAAGTCGACAACATATCCTTTTGACTCCCAAATTTTAGCAAAAAAAAAAAGAAGAAAAAAAAAACATATTCTTTGAGTCATCCCACCAAGAACAATGTATGATATTTTTCACCCTCTTGAGATCTAAATCCGAAAAAACTTAGTCACATAGTAAGTCCTGATCAAGTTGTTAGAATTGTTCGCCGATCAAGTATTGCGCGCGCAACTGCAAGAGTAGAAATGAGACACCTTAACTCGCCCACAACTACATTTTATGCCCACATAAGCTGGTGGTGCCAAGAACATTCTCTGCTGAAATAATGATACAGAAATTGATATACTGGGACGTATTAAAAAAAGGTGTTTAAAGCAAGTCTCAGGTTATATATTCCGTAGCAAACAAAATCAGAAAAGCCTTATCTGACACCCCCAAAGTCATACTTAAATACAAAAACATTTACCAATTGATAGATTCAAAACAATCAAAATGTAAAGAGAGACAGCAGAAAATGATCTCAATCACCTGCAACGGATGATCACGGGAGTATGCACTTTGGTCCCTATCTTTGTGTCAAGAAACCTGCATATGATTTAGGAAAAAAAAAAGCTATGGTTAAAGGATCACTAAAATTAATGATTCTTTAGCCTAAACGAAACAAATCAGATTAAACATGCTAACATAACCCAAGTATGAGGAACAAAATCACCAAAAAAACAACCAAAGGGATCAGAATCCTTACCAGAAAAAAAAAAAAACAGAACGAACATAACTAAAAATCTGAAAGACATTCTCAGAGAAGAGACAAATCTTGAGACACCATCTCCATAATCGGCTGAATCCCACCACCAGAAGCTTCCAAAGCCTCAACAGCTTCCATACTATAAGACCGGCAACTAAAATAAAAGACAGCACTCATCATCGTATCAACAAGCACCACAAACGAATACATCACCACAAGCAAAGGACCTTCCCAAATCCTCGAAGACCCATCTCCATAACTCAAAATCTTCACCCTATGCTCAAACAACCCCTCCACAAAAGTCAACCCTATCGTCGACCCTAAAAAAATCAACAACCCAACCTGCGTCTGCCCTTTAATCAAATCATTCGCTCTCACCAACGCACGTGGACCCGACACATCCTCCAAAATCGATATCACAATCGTCGTGTTACAGATTATAATCACATTCGCGAACACAACCGAAAACCCTAAACCAATTAAAATAGCTCCATAGGCGTTAAAATCAGGAGAGAAGCCGAGAACGTAGAGCGAGCTACAGACAGCAACGAGAAACACACAGAAGGAAGTGAGACAAACAACGATCACGACACAAACCCATAAGTAAGTGAAGACGAGACGTTTCCACAGTCTCTGCATGATCACAACAAACTTGGGGACCACGACTCTTCTCCTCGAGTAAGTGCAATCGACGGAGTAGACAACGGCGGCTCGGGATAGAAGCGAGAGTGTTACGAAGAGAGGGAAACACGTGGCGGAGGAGACGGCTGTCTCGGAGAATTTCTGACAGGAGTTTCGGACGAAAGGTAAGAGAGGGAGGCCGGAGGATTTGGCGAGGAGGATGAGACGTACTGTGAGTGAATTGACGATAGATTGGTCGACTAGGAGGTTTGGTAAGAGGATGGCGGAGACGGGGCAGATCAGGAGAGTTAGGATTAGCATGAAGGCGACGAGGTTGTACCGGAGGATCCGTACGGTTTCTCTTAGTATCTCCAGCGCGTTCATGGAGTGGAATTGGTGATCATCTTCATGAGATGGTGATGGTGATTCGATCTCGAGTTTTTGGATGTTGGATTCGTGATTGGTTACAGTACTGTCCATGGTTCGGACACACACGGAGGAGATGTTGAGGTAATTAATTTTAACCCAGATTGTTATGGGATTAGTTTCGATGTCATAGTCATAAACGCAGGATGAAAACGCAGCGTTTGAGGGTTACATGAAAGGGAAGGAGAGGATTTGGAATCTCCTCTTTAGAGTGTGGAAACAGGATTCACGCGTAAAGAGCTTTGGAAAATATGCTTTGTTGCGGTCGAGACCGTGAAGGAAGGAAGCAAAATCATAACCATTCTTTTGGCCAACTAAGCATGACACGTGTGTAAGATAAAATTGTTTTTGCCAGCTAGGTATGACACGTGTTTCCTTTTAAGCTCGACTATGGGGGCCATCTCATAATGCCAACTGTGAATCACATACAACACAGGTGCAATAGCATTGCAAAAGTTTACAAGTTACTTTTACAAAACCTTTTAAATTTGGTTGAATATGGAAGACATTTCAGTGTTTAATCTACATCATAAAAAACCTTTGAGGTCCTCTACATTAAGAACACACTATGAGGTCCTACACCCTCTTTGAATTTAAGCAGGAAAAAACAAATCAGTAGTTTAGATTGGCTCTTGATCATCAGGTTTTTGCTAGTGTAGTAGAAATGCGGTAGCTTAACACGCCAACAACTCCTGAAACACACAGCGTTGTATGCATATTAGCTGTTGATACAAAGACCATTATGCCAAAAAATGATAGAGCAAAAGATATAATGAAACGTTGTTTTGGGAATCAGGCCCAGAGCAACAAAGACAACAAGCTTTCCCATCATAATCTATTCATGTTTTCAGTGAGTTAAATTACTTGCATTTCCAGCAGAGGAGTACAAAGAAACAGAGCATTGAATTTGAAAGAATATACGTTTGTTCTTCAGAAGCATTTTGCTGCTAATAATTAAAAACCTTGCTTAACCCTCAAAGCCAGATTGAATACAAAACTAGCCAATGTAACTGTACGTAGAGTGACAGCAGAAGGTGATCTTAATACATGCAATGGATTATCACAGGAGTAGGTTTAAGGGCCTTTGGTACATTTCTTATCCCTCTGTTGTTCTTAGAAACCTGCACGATTCACGTTAAAAGAAAGTTATAGTTAACTTAATCATCCTCCACGAAACAAGCAAAGTTCAGAGACGTTTTACTACTGGACTACTGGTTTTTCTGATAGATTAATTAAGTTTTAAGGCATATTGAAAATGCGTTATTCTTGAAAAGTGTTTAAAATGGTTAATCATGATGGAAGATATTAGAATCCTCGAAATTTTGTTAACTATATATATATTCGCATATAGTGCTACTCAATGAATATATCAAATCCTTCCTCCTCGTACTAACGCTATAGACTATATTAAAGCTCAAGTTAAATTAGCTTTTAACCTTTAGCCTAAATATATCAATTATTCAATTTCAAAACAAAAATCTCTATAATATTATTTGAGAAGTCAGTTTCCTATGTGGCGCGCTCACGTTGACTCTTACACCGGTTGATTACTATGATACCATTGATGAATATATTTAAATAGTATATTTAAATAATATTATTAATTTTATGTTTAGTTTCCTTTTTAAAACATTCCAAATAACTTTTACAATAAAAAAAGAAAAAAATTATTAAATTTAAAAACGAAAATATATATGTTTATATAATATGATTTCATTAAAAAGAAAAGTTCACAAAATAGTAATATACTATCAAAATAGTAAAATAGTATTATTAATTTTGTATTTAGTTTCCTTTTTAAAAATTTCCAACTAAAATTTATAATAGAAAAAACATCTATAAAATTTAAAAGGAAAAATTAAAAACGAAAATATATGTTTTATAATATGATTTCATTAAAAGGGAAAATTAACAAAATAGTAACATCCATTAAAAATATTTTAAATAACATAAAATGTACTTTTTTAAATAATAAAATACTTTCTTTATATCTGTATTTTCTTATATGAAAATGTATATTTTTATATAATGTGATTTCATAACAAAAAATTCACACATATTATTTTGATATTTGAAAAAAAAATTTACTTTTAAACATAATTTTAAGTAACATAAACAAGTATATGTTTTTATTAACTAAAATAGTTTTTTAATTAAAATTATTGAATATTTTATTTATTTTCATATATTTAGTTGACTATAGTATTTTTCAACTAAAGAAAAACAAAAAATATCTATAAATTAAATTTTACTTATATAATATCCTTCTCAAATACAACCACAATTTTTACTGCTTATTTTTAAGAGAAATTAAAATATTTTTTAACAATAAACATCTTTGAATCAAATAATTACAAAATATTTTAAAATACCATACCACTATATACTTTAATGACATAGATATTTTATATTCTATCATTATTTAAATTATATGTTTCTTAATTTTAATTTATTTAAAAAAATTTTATGTTTGTGTAACTTAATATAACCATAATAAAAATATCAAAGCAAATCCAAATTCTCATTTTTAAGATTATTTAAAATAGTTTCAGTTTATCATTCAATAAATCTAAGATATAAAATTATTTAGAATTTATAAAATATTTTAGTTATTGTAAATATTGATGTGTTCATGAATCTCCAAAAATATATGAGTTACTTAAGTATGTAACTTCCTACTGATTATTGCTTTATTTTCTACTATATTTTAAAGAAACATATAACTTGAGAAATATTATGAAAATACGTGCACATTTAAATGATAAATAATATTACTTTAATTTGATTTATTTTTTGAAATTTATATATATGCATGAGACTTCAAAGATTATCTTTATATCGATTGATGTAATTTGAAATCCAAATTATTTTATATTTCATTATAGGCATAATATATCTTAAGTTATAAATAACTTTTCTAAAATATATTGACATCTTTGACAGCAAACAACCTAAAATTAAATAATAGAATTAATCAAAATTTAATATATTTAGAATAAAAAATATTATAGTTGAATTCAGATAAAAGAATGTAATCTAATATACCCAAATAATAACAGTAAATCGACTATAAATAATAAAATTGACTAGATATAATATTTAGAAAATAATATGTCTAATTAAAGTAAATAATATTATTAATATAAATCATGTATGCAAATTATAAATTAATTGAAAATTAAAAGTAAATAGTAATCAATTATTATAGTATATTTACTTAATAAATATTTATACCCGTGCATGAGCACGGGAAAATCACCTAGTTGGTAAGTAATAGACTAGGTCATGTGCTATACATGTTGTAAATTCTATCACTCTTTCGATGTTGAACTATTAACACAATCCTTTAAGATAATGATTTTCTGGCTCCATTTCAAACTGAATTATTCTTTAGTCAATAATACACGCTATTTGAATGCCTGGACCATACTATTTAAGTTATCAAACTCAGCCTCTAACATAAAGAATTCCTTCTTTGAACCCTTTAACAAAACAATTCAATCTTCTAAGTCATGCTAATAGAAAAATGATTTAGCAAAGCATGACAAAGAAGCTAGAGATTATGATGACGACTTGATTAATCATCGTCACTCATTTCTAAATTGGCTCCAATACTAAATTTAGAACTTTCGTGTGCGTCATCTCATCCTGTCTTTCAACCCTATCCTTTTGTCCCATGCCCCATATAGTAATAAGTGAATCGCTTGATGACATATATATAATTCATTCTTCTAATTGGCTTGGTGAACGATATATGTTACATGTGCCATTTGAAATAAAGTATTAATAGAGTTAGGTGCACTTGTCAACAAAATAGCTTTTTGTGAGATTTTTAATTGGTTAAAATATCATCTTTAGATTATCCATTAACAAAATAATTTTCTTAATCTTTTGAAAAACAATTGTTCATACGACACCGTTGATCATGATTTACTTAAAACTAGAGTTTGTTTCACCCGTCCGCGCGAAATTATTATTTATATTTTATAATTATTTAATAATTTTTTTATAAGTGAAATAGATATTTTTATGTTTTTATCTGGAAAAAATCGATTCAAATTCCGTCAGAAATTTTATAATATCAAGACATAGTTTATTTTTAAAATCCAAAATCTCTGATACCAAAATAATGATCTTATCTAATTTTTACTTGAATGTCTATGTTTAACTGATTATGTAAACAAAAATAATAATTATTTGTTAATTGATTTGAATTGTTGTACTAATAGAATAATTTCATTTAAACATGTAATTATTATGGTTAACGTGTAAAATTAATTATTCAAATTATTATGATAATGGTAAGTACAATTAATAAAGTAGTTTGAAAGAGCGGGAATATAGTATAAAAAATAGAATAAAACATTTAAAAATATAAACTATGTTTTTATAATTAATACAGTCAAGTTATTATCAAATAATCAATTAATAAAGTACTTAAGATGATTAAAAATAAGGATATAAAATATGTAATAAATATGTTAAAAATAAAGTTAGTTTTATTTTGTACTTCAATTTTTAAAATATAGAAGAATATTATGCTCATGGTTTAGTGAAAAAAAATGTTAGTCAGAATGGGTTTGGATTTGTGTTCTAATCGCATAATTAGCTTGAGATTAATATTTGTTTAAACTTTTTTGGTGTAAAACATTTCTTCCATCAGATATCTAAAAATACAATATAATCAATGTTTGCTTAACCATTAGTCCACCATCTGCGGTGATAAATGTTTGTGATGTTCGAGATTAAACACATTTTCATTGTATGTTTACCAAATTTTTGTGTAACTATTTGCCTGAAATAAAAATGATTTGGTTCCCACCAAGTTGAGATAATCTCTATTTTTTGATGATATGGCGTCGATCTTTAGATAAGATAAAGTTTAGCTTTGGGTATGGTTCTTGGATGAGTGGTTGAATAAGGCTGTCCTATACATAGTACATGCAAAAGGACCTCAAAAGCTTTTAGAAAGAAGGAAGGATAAGAAGTTCATCTTCCAAAGACTCTTTAATATCCAAGTCAGGATTTTTTTTATTGAGAATCACGCATTCGAAACATGTATATAGGATGAATGAAGAATCTCATGAGAGGATCAAAATCTGTATCATATAAAGCGTTTGATAGAATGGGGTTGAGCCGAAAGTGCCATAGTCGAGTGGTTATGATCAGTGACTAGTTATTTTGGGATGAGGAATTTGACTCCTATTTTCCTCCTCGAGGTGAGGATTTCGCTGTGCGGAGTATATGGAACATCGGTCGGTCTGTTTTGACATGTGTCGACCAAAAAAGAAAGATAGAACGGGGTTGAAACTTTGCATCGATTCTAAAAAACACATGAACTATATTTATTGAATCATTAAGGTTATTATCTTCCTCTGTTTACTATCGGTGTTCCTTTGGTTTCACCATTCCTTTGGGGTGAAATTTCTCTTCTTTCTTCATAGGCTGCTCTTCCTTTTTTTTTAACATGGGGGTTTTAATTTTTACCCGTCTGACAATGATTTTTTCCATCATTTAAAACTTGATAGCCAAATTTAAATTTAAGAATGTAGTAGTAGGTAATTTTATCAAGAAAAGTCCTGTGATATCAAAATCCTTATTTGGCGGAGGAATTCTACTTCGGTAGCAGGCTGATTTTCCTTCTGCACATTTGATGACTTCTCAGCACAACTCAAAGTAAAGTCGTAACAAAAATATCGGATATAAAACCAAACTCAGCAAAACCATATTTTATCATATAATTGAAGATAATTAATGTTAGTTCTTTTTTTTTGAAACACTAATGTTAGTTCTCTTATATATATACCATCAAAATATGAAAGAGGAAATATATTAAAGCTGGTAACTTATTTATTTAAAAGATGTCATCAATACGGTTTTTTACTAATTATGGTTATTAGTTTAACGGAGGGATCAAATAAGACTTGAGAAACTATTGTCGTCAAATATGAAAAAGATCTACAAAATGTTTGTAGTTTAAAAATAAAGCCATGAAATATACCAGAATGAATCAAGTTTTATACAAAGCTAATCATTATATTAAACTAAAACTCAACCCATTAAAAAAAGAACTTGATAATTGTCATCAATTTTGTTTTTTTCTCTCCTCTTTCCCACTACAATCTGGAACGTTCCTTAAACATCTTTTAGTAATCCAATAATCACACAAAACTCTTTTCAGGAAACTTGTGTCCAATCTGAACTCAGCGTGTGGAGTTCTTGACAAATGTAATAAACAAAGATTTAATCATCCAATTAGGGAATGGTAATGGCACTATTAGATAAGAGCAGGGAGTAATTAGTGACATCTAATTATTGTTTTAATTATACTAATCCGCCGTGGCGCGTGGGTGTATGCCCTCCACAATCCTTATCCCTAATGTCTTTTTACGTGAATATGCCATGTCATCAGTAGCATCAAAAGTGGTCCCTTCCTTATAGTGTGCCACGTCTCTTTTCCAAATTATGTGCAAAGAACGGTCTTCACACTCTTTTGTAAGAGTACCTTTTTGGTGTGTAATAAAAGTTATTTAGTACTTCTCTTTCGGATTACTATGATTATTGGTTATGTTTATGAAAAATAAATATCATTTTTATGATAAAAAGAAAAGACCATGCGACAATAGAAGATCATTCTAGATTATAAACAATGATACAAAATATTTTAAAATCACTCAATTTCTCAGTAGTCAAATAAACAACGTTGAAAATATGATAGACCATATTGATTTTTTCAAATACATAAATATAAATTATCTTATTAAATAACCAGTTTAATAGTTAGAACTAGACGGAATATAAACAATTTATGCTTATAAATAAATAATTTATCAGGGTTGAAATTACAACAAAATTATTGAAATATACATGTACTATGCAGGCAATATGAAGGCCTATATATTCCCCATAAATAAACTGTTGGGTGTTGATGTGTATTTTGTCATTACATAAAATACATAGTGCAGATAATAATAACGTTGTATTTGACTTTTGATTGTTAAGCTTCTATCATATGGATAGGGGTAGACAAAGATAGGCTGGGAAAGCAATAAGGAAGAATGAGAAACGAATATTTGAGGAGAAATAGGACAAAAGAATATACTTCTGCTTGAAATGGAGATTCACCTAAATACTAAATACTAGAGGCCATGCAATGCAACCAAACAAATAAGTGGTCAAGCACACTCAATTATATGCCTCTTCTCTTCTTTTCTACGACGGAGACCCTTTAAAATCCTCACAAGTAAGAGATATTTTTCTACACTATTGGCTAATTCTAATTTGTTGTTTCTTTTTTTTTTTTATAAAGTTTATATATACATGTATTTGTTTTCCCTTCATACAGTTGAGCTAAGCTTTATAAATTATAAATATAGACACAAACATGTTATATATGTGATTCTTAACCCCTCTGTTTTAGAAACGATATTTAAGGTTTTCAGGCCTTTTTATTGATAAATAATGATAATTATATTTGAATTTTATCAAATTATTAATGATAAATTTATTTAAAATAGTTGTACACAGGAAATGGTGTATTTATAACCAGATTTATTATATTTTTCAGAAGTGTAAAATAAAGTTTTTAAAACATATTATTCGGAAACAAGAGAAGTACAATTTATAAAACGAAATGCCTTCAAAGTAAAGATTAAACTCACCATTATACAAAATAAATATCTAGTGTCAAATAATACTTTTCCTTTTTGGATCACATGCTTATCATGAACAGACATTATCAGAATTCAAATTCCTTTTAAAGCTCTTTAACCGTGATTACTCTGAATTATTAGACAAATTCCCTTCATATAATCCCAATATTATATATATGTGGAAGAAAAAAACAACAAAATATGTGACTAGAGATAATGGATAGGACATTCGAAGGACAAAACTAATTATTATTTTAATTACAATGTACCAACCAATAAGAACGAAGTGACGCACACTAAACGACAAAAAAGCTCAAGAATATAAACCCCTACCTTCTCGGCTTTCTAACATTTCATAAACCTTGAAAACATCAAACAAACACACAACTCCAAAACCATGGACATGAATCCCAACACTACACTCCCTCCAGGATTTAGATTTCATCCTACCGACGAAGAACTCATCGTTTACTATCTCAAAAACCAAACCATGTCCAGACCATGCCCTGTCTCGATCATACCAGAAGTTGATATCTACAAGTTCGACCCATGGCAATTACCCGGTTCGATTCGGTTATTCACTTCTCATGTTACTAATATTTATTATGTATTTGCCGTTGATGTTAACTGTCTTATTACTTGTTTTTTTTCGTTGTAAAACAGAAAAAACAGAGTTTGGAGAAAATGAATGGTATTTCTTCAGCCCAAGAGACCGAAAGTATCCAAACGGAGTCCGACCAAACCGGGCAGCTGTTTCCGGTTATTGGAAAGCGACCGGTACAGACAAAGCCATTTACAGTGGTTCTAGTAACGTAGGTGTCAAGAAAGCTCTCGTCTTCTACAAAGGTCGACCTCCCAAGGGGATCAAAACTGATTGGATCATGCACGAGTACCGTCTCATCGATTCACGTAAAGCATCAACCAAACGTAACGGTTCCATGAGGGTAAGCAGAAAAAAATAAAATCATGCGTTTATTTTATAAAAAATAATTTGTTATAAACGTTATATTATGTTATTTTTGCAGTTGGATGAATGGGTTCTATGTAGGATATACAAGAAGAGATTAGGAGCAGGGAAGCTTCTAGATGAGAAAGAGGGTTACATGGATGAAGTACAAATCGATGAGACGTTAACAGTTGCTACGAACGAAGTAGAGAGAAGAAATGAGGAAGAGATAATGATGATGACGTCGACGAAGCTTCCTAGAACGTGTTCACTTGCTCATTTGCTAGAAATGGATTACATGGGACCCATCTCCCACATTTTAACGCCGTTCGATCTTCATATTCCTGATCCGAACATGGTGAACGAGTCTGGTTGGTTCGGAGATCTACAGATAAACCAAGACGAGTTATTGAACCATCATCGACCGGCTAGTACTATGTTTCAGTTTTAGTGATGGATTGTTATAAAGAAAATTGTAAAATAGTAACTAGTAAAGAACCAAATGTGATTCTTTATATTTTCTCGCATATGAATGTGAACCGAAAAAAGATATGTTTAATTAATATAAAGCTGTTTCAGCATGTTCAAACGTAGTCATGGAGTTTATTTACGTTATACTAACCAATTAAACAAATAAACTTTTTGTACTATACAGTTGTTTTAAAATATAGAGATTGGGATGACGTTAACATGGGATGAAAAAGTCGATGGCGTGTGGAGGAAGGAATCCACGCCAGATACAATGCATTTAGGGTACTTATCTTTGTCGCTTATGTAGATAACGAATGTTAATTACTTGTCATCATCGTACTTTAAAGCTCATTTTGATTCGGTCCACGAAAGACTCAAAACATAATGGAACGAAAGGAACTTATCATCAGTGAGATAAAATATGTGGGCCTTTCATGCTAGTTTCAATTTTGACCGGTTTACCAAAACCAAGAAGACCAGACCGGTTTTAGAAAGAACACACACTAAAGAAGTGAACTATTTCAATAAAGAGGGAAACAAAAAGATTGTTAGCTAAATGGTAGATTGCTCACGTGCTTTTGGCTGATCACCAAACAAAACCAGCTAGAGATATAAAAACTCTATGAATCTTTAGTCTTTAACTTTCAGATTCAACAAAAATGTCTATATGGATTGTTCTAGCTTGCATGGTGACATCATGGATCTTCTTGCACCGATGGGGACAGAGGAACAAGAGAGGTCCCAAGACATGGCCCTTGGTCGGAGCAGCCATCGAGCAGTTGACTAACTTTGACCGAATGCACGACTGGATCGTTGAGTATCTTTACGACTCAAGAACCGTAGTGGTTCCCATGCCCTTCACCACTTATACATATATAGCAGATCCCATCAATGTTGAACACGTCCTCAAAACCAATTTCTCCAACTACCCAAAGGTGAGAAACAAACTCTTTCACCAATGTAAATAACTAGTGTTTGTCAATTTTTCATCTATGTTTTTTTGTGTAATAAGGGAGAGACGTACCATTCGTATATGGAAGTTTTGTTGGGAGATGGGATCTTCAATTCAGATGGAGAGCTATGGAGGAAACAGAGGAAAACAGCAAGTTTCGAGTTTGCTTCAAAGAATCTCAGAGACTTCAGCACCGTAGTGTTTAAAGAATATAGCCTTAAGCTCTTTTCCATCCTTTGTCAAGCTTCTTTCAAAGACCAACAAGTAGACATGCAGGTAACAGTCCACTTGTCACATCCAAAACCGGATTTGAGATTTATGGAGCTATAAATATTTTAGCTCCATAAACATGTCCTATGTTCTTTTTTTTAATATCATTTTCTTGATATTTTTGGCTGCAGGAATTGTTGATGAGAATGACTCTAGACTCCATATGTAAAGTGGGATTTGGTGTGGAGATAGGAACATTAGCTCCAGAGTTACCAGAGAATCGTTTTGCTAAGGCTTTCGATACCGCAAATATAATAGTAACACTTCGTTTCATAGACCCTCTTTGGAAGTTGAAGAAGTTCCTTAACGTAGGCTCTGAGGCATTACTTGGCAAGAGCATAAAAGTCGTTGATGATTTCACTTATTCAATGATAAGAAGAAGGAAAACAGAGATATTAGAGGCACAAAAATCACCTTCTAACAACATTAAGGTAAAAAAAAAATGTTAGTACTCAAATTTATATATGCATGCACTTGTCACATACTAATGTTTTTTCTCAAAATCTACTAGATGAAGCATGATATACTCTCGAGATTCATTGAGATCAGTGACGACCCTGAAAGCAAAGCAACGGAGAAAAGCCTAAGAGATATAGTCCTGAACTTTGTTATTGCTGGAAGAGATACAACAGCAACAACTCTCACTTGGGCTATATACATGATAATGATGAATGAACATGTCGCTGAGAAGCTTTGCTCAGAGCTTCAAGAACTCGAAAGAGAAAAATCAGAAGAGACTCAAACACCATTGCTTCATTACGATACAGAGGATATCAAATCCTTCAACGAGAGGGTAACACAATTTGCAGGAATGCTAAATTACGACTCCTTAGGAAAGCTACACTACTTGCACGCCGTGATAACAGAGACACTTCGTCTCTACCCTGCGGTTCCTCAGGTATATATCACACCATAAGTCCATCAAAAAATTTGGAAACAAGTGGGACTTACAACTTAAGCTATTGTAGGATCCAAAAGGAGTGTTGGAAGATGATATATTACCAAATGGAACAAAAGTAAAAGCAGGAGGGATGGTAACATATGTTCCTTACTCAATGGGTCGCATGGAATACAATTGGGGATCAGATGCAGCAACTTTTAAACCCGAGAGATGGCTTAAAGATGGAATCTTCCAGAACGCTTCCCCATTCAAGTTCACAGCATTTCAGGTATTAGTCAAAAAGAATATAAAAGATACATACTGATGTATTACAGTAAAAGATGATAACGTAAAGAAATGTGAGTGATGCAGGCTGGACCAAGGATATGCTTGGGAAAAGATTCAGCTTATCTACAAATGAAGATGGCAATGGCAATTCTTTGCAGATTCTATAGATTCCATTTGGTGCCTAATCATCCTGTCAAGTATCGGATGATGACAATTCTATCTATGGCTCATGGTTTGAAAGTTACTGTATCCAGACGTTCATAGACAAAAACAAAAAGAGAGAGTCCTAATCCAGTGTGGAATGATACAAGAAGATAAACTATGCAAATCTTTTTGTTCTTAAACTATCAAAGAATGATCAATTGTCCAAGTGAATATATATAATTTCAAGTTTCTTGTCTAAGGAATTAATTGATAAAGCATTAGCATAAACATCATGCTCTATATTATCCAATCAAATATTTATCAAACAGACATTTAGAAAATCATTTATCAAATGCAAATGCTCTCCAAATGCTCTTTGCTGAATTCTCTCGTAGAGAGCTTTTGGAAGAGTATTTGCAGATAAAATATATAAAACTCAACAATAATTATATATTATCAATTTATTTTTGTTTAAAAATATATAAAATCAAAAAAATAAATTTATATTTTTAAAAATAAGAATAAAAATTATAATTAATTTTTTTAAAAGAACAATATTTCACATTTAAATATAATATAATTTATATAACTACAGATATCATTTATTATTTTTAATAACAAACATAAAATAATATATATTTATACATTATAGATATACACATATTATTTAGATACTAATAAATAAGTTATATTACATATATTAATTTTTAAGATAATTTTATATATGAATCATTTACTGTTCTACTAACAAATAAATAATAATAATTGATAATCTACTATATAAGGTAAAGACTAAAGAGTCTAATAAAACAATGTACCAAATTTTTTTCTTTTTTTTTTTTTTATAAATTTGTTTCTATGTAAATATTGAGTTAGATCATATATCACTTCCATATCGGTCAACAATAATGATTATCAAATCTTGATATTAATTGGAATATTGGGCCCATGAAGGCCCAAACAGTTAAGGAGAGAATAAAAAGCTGCGTTAAATTGAGGCATCATCATCGTGGAACGTGAAGCTCACATAGTAGAACAAGATCCGATCTAAACCCGGTTTCTCGTCGGAATCTCTTCACGGTTAACCGGCTTTCCTCATCCACCTTTCGGTAATAATCTCTTTCCGATTCAACTTTTTTTTTTCTTTTCTGTTTGATCATGTTGACAGAGTATATGGTTTGTGAACGCTTGTCAATGAAAAAAATGTGATTTTAGTGTTGTTATCAATATTTCTTCATAGGGTTCGCATCTGAAAAAAAAAAAAAGAAGTGGACTTTTTTTTTTAAATATATTATTTCTAATCAGTAGTAGTGTTTTTGAGTTTTGTAGTAATAACGATATTTATATGTGTTTTGTGTTCTGGACTGGAATGTTTCTTGTAGTAAGATTTAACTTTTTTTTTTTTTTTTTTTTTTTTTTTTTTTTGTGAAATACAGTTATGGAAGACGTCAAGGGAAAGGAGCTTGTTGATGATACTCCACCTGTTGAACAAAATGATAACAAGAAGGTTTCAAATGAAGCTGGAATTCATAAACAGCCATCATCTGAGTCCGAGGTATAACCACTTACAGATCATAGTTTTAATATCTTTCTTCTCTGTATTGGTCATCACTGTTGAGGATTACTGTAGGAAAATGCGATCAAGAAAAAGTATGGAGGATTATTGCCTAAGAAGATTCCTTTGATATCTAAGGTTAGCTTTTGTTTTTTCACAATTTGATACATATACCATGATCCTTTAGAGAAAAGCTAATTCAGATGTATTCATGTTTTTATTTAAGGATCATGAGCGTGCGTTTTTTGACTCTGCTGATTGGGCATTAGGCAAGGTGATTCTTTCATACTAATATACAACCTTTGTCACTATCTTGTTCCTGTTACTGTCTCTTTCTGTGTCGTGTGCAATTTTATTAAACAGCTCTTAAAGTAAGTAATGCACAGCAAGAAAAAAGATGCAGATAGTAACTTGAATTACCACTTTTATTTCAGCAAAAAGGACAAAAGCCTAAAGGGCCTTTGGAAGCTCTCCGACCAAAACTGCAGGTAAAGTTGATATCTCGCTTTCTCCACTTGTTTCTTTGTCTTGTCTCTTTGACATTTATATCTATCTGTTCACGCAACAGCCAACACCGCACCAGCAACCAAGAGCAAGACGAATGGCTTTATCTTCAGGCGAGAACACTGAAGGTGAAATATTTTTATATGTCACAGCCTCTATTTTCTTGATTGACATGTATCAACTCTACTCATTCAATGTGTCTCGTTAAAATCAGACGCTGAGGCTGACAACAACGAACCTCTCGATGACCAAGCTAGCGCCTCAGCTGTTGACAACGCCAAGGATGATGGAGGCATCGATGCTGCTGGCGGGAAAGACAACATCAAGTCATGAACAAACATATATAAATCTCTTGAGAAGCAACATCACAAGTCAATTTTACAGAAGAATAAGCAACCAGGTTTGCTTTGCAACGGTTGTAGTAATATCGAGTCTCTCTCTCTCTTTACATTATATTCCATACTTGGGCATCAGCAAATCTGTATCACCATACAAAACCTAGTTGTTGTGTTTGAAACTTCCAATAGACGATTTGCAAATGGTGTTTGCTTTTTAATGATCCATCAAATACTCTCTTAATCAAAGTTTCTATTACTCATCTGAACACAATCTTGACATCTTTACTCAATCAAGTAACTAGAGAGAGGATCCTATTAGTGATGTTATGACAAAAGCTGATATGACGTCTTACACAATCAAAGGGTTAAAAAGAATTGATAAACGTGAACGCAAGTAACTTTGTTAAATGTTAAGTTCAGACTCGTCTTCTTTGAAGTTTTCTTCGTCCTCTTTCTATCACGTCTGTTCTTCACAATGCCTTGTGGTGACTCAAAGATGCGTTTCGTGTAGCTCCGGCCAAATGTCGTTCTTACTATTATGTAAGATTTTTTTTTCTTAAATGTGAACGTGGCATAATAAGTTAGAGAGTGACTGCCAACTTAAATGTTTACTTGGCATTTTACTATTAGTTTCAAACTTTTGTTAAAGTGGGTGACTGACGTGTTACTACCAAATTTTTACAAGTTTTAACGGTGGGAAGTGAGTAGTTTTGTGATGCTATTAAGCAAAAAAAAAAGATATATCATTTACAATATTTTACTCTGCATTGGTGATCGACTCCTCTCCTCAGGCAAAACATTCCGGTAAGATTTTTGATGCCTCTTTAAGCATTTTTTACGTAGTTTCTTATATTTCATCCTCCCTTTAGGTTCTGAGATAATCCCTTTTTCCTCTCCTTAGGCAAACGATATTATGTTGTTTTAGCAGGTTTTGTTGTTTGGGACACGGCTAAGTACATCAAAACTTATTACTGATAATGGTCATGATCCACCTGAATAGTCTCTTATATGGTAGTAATTCTTGATATGTTATGGAAATGATAAAAAAAGTTTCGATGTTTTCTTCAGGCAAAACATTCTTCTCGTGATGTAAACTGGAACACAGATGATGAAATCGATAACTTCCAGTCATCTCCTGTAAATTACATGTTTGAATAATCTCTAATGTAGTAGTAATTCTTGATATGGTGGGGAAATGATAAATGTTTTCTTCAGGCAAAAGATTCTTCTGGTGATGTAAACTGGAATACAGATGATGAAATCGATAACTTTCAATCGTCTCCAGTAAATTCTATGTCAAAAGTCTCAGTACATCAGGCTGGTGGTGTAAGTGTTTTGTCTCTGACTTCTAAAGAAAACAACTCTTAACTTGTTTGACACGCTAGAAAAAAAATCTTTTTATGTTTTGTTATGGTGTATGACATTAGAGAAACGTAGTTCATATGGATGATGAGACGGTTGCTAAGTTTATTGAGATGGGATTCTCCATCGAAATTATCAGTAGAGCTGTTGAAGAAACCGGCGGTTAGAACTATTTATTTATTTATCTGAGATATGCCTGTCTGGTTTTCTGTGGTCTGTTAATCATTGAAATGTTTAATCACTTTGCAGTAGATAATCCAGAACCTATGTTGATTCTTGAAACTCTATTCAAGATTTCTGTGAGTTTCTTTCCTTTTGTAGTCACATCTTGATAGTATTTAATCTTATGGCATCTGTTGATATTTACTAGACATGAAATTTTCCATTTTAATGCTTTTTTGTGTAGACAAGCTCTGAAGCTAGTTCATCTAAGTCTAAGCTAATAGATCAGCTTCTTAGTATGGGTTTTTCAGAGGAATTAGTGATCAAAGCTATACAAGAACATGGTAATGACATAGCTCTTGCTCTTCTTTCTCCCCCAAAGATTGGTAAACTTCAATGTTGTATCTTGAAACTGTCCTTGATAATTTGCAGGAGAAGAAAATCTAGAGGAGATAACAAATGCACTTCTGAGTTATGCAGTAAGTAATAGATACTCTGACTTTTTATTGTAACTTTGAATCCGAGACAACAAATGCACTTAATGTGTCACGTACTGAAGCCTTGTTACTGTTTTATAGGAAGCAGAAAAAATGCATGAAACAGAGAATGAGGACATCAATAATAACTACTTATCAGATGATAATGATGACGCCAATCTTTACTTTGGTCTATCATCCTCGGATGAAGAGGTATAGATAGACTGTTCAACTTTCTGATGCGTTTCTCATTTTACAATTGTAGATACTGTATAACATTGTCATCTTTTTTTTATGTTGGAAAAATAACAGAATGAGTTAAACTCTTTTCATGAAGATGGTAGACTGCAAGATTTGATCAAAATGGGCTATCCAAGGAAAGAGGCTTCTATAGCTCTAGAGAGATGTGGTAACCTCTTGATAATTTATTTCTGTGATACATAACAGAGTTTTTCTTCATCTTTTTATACATTAGACATGTAATTATCTCATAGATGCAATCAGTGTCCTAGCTTGCAACTTATTAATGTATCTTTCTCAAACTTTTCAGGAGAAATTGCAAGTTTGGCAGAAGTTGTTGACTTCATTTTTGCTGCTCAAATGGCACGGCAACTAGATGAGTTTTGGGCATCTCCTGATGAAGAAGAGGTAATAAGTTTAACTCCTCTTGAAGAACCAAAGACACCATCAACTTATGTTTCTTTAACGATGTTACACCGTTATTCATGTGTAATACGTGGTTTGCAAGCTTGACGTTTCTATTGTGCGTGGATCAGCCAAGAAATAATGAGCTACCGGCAAAAAGGAGAAAGCTGAACACAGCCATGGCCAGTGATGACGAACTCATCCGTCTACCAAATCCAATGATCGGGTTTGGTGTACCAAAGGAGCCTGGACTTATAACTGAGAGGCCAGTCCCCATCCCTAATATTGCTCTTGGTCCACCTTATTTCTACTACGAGAACGTTGCAATGACACCCAAAGGTGTTTGGGCCACGATGTCTAGTCATCTATATGACATCAAACCTGAATTTGTGGACTCCTTGCACTTTTGTGCTGCTGCAAGAAAAAGAGGTTACATTCACAACCTTCCAATCAATAACAGATTTGAGATACAACCCACACCACATTATACCATACAAGAAGAGTTTCCTATGACCAAGAAATGGTGGCCTCCTTGGGATAAAAGAACGAAGTTGAACTGTGTGTTGACTTGCATCGCCAGTGCTCAGCTCACAAACAGAATACGCAAGCGTCTTGAAAAACATGAGATGGATCCTGATGTGCAGAAAGATGTCGTTGATCAATGCAAAAAATGGAACCTGGTTTGGGTTGGTAAGAACAAAGCTGCCCCACTCGAACCATATGAGATGAAAAGGCTTCTAGGTTTCCCAAATAATCATACTCGTGGTATAAGTAGAAAGGATCGCTACAAGTCTCTAGGCAACTCATTTCAGGTACTAAAGACTCTTGTCAGTTAAAGTATCTTGATCTAAACTTGTTTTCTTATCTTTTTTTTTGTTCTTTAGGTTGATACTGTTGCCTATCACTTGTCTGTCCTTAAACCTTTGTACCCAAAAGGCATAAACGTCTTGTCACTCTTCACGGGCATAGGTGGTGGAGAAGTAGCACTTCACCGTCTCCAAATACCAATGAATCTGGTTGTGTCTGTTGAGATTTCAGAAGTGAACAGGAACATATTCAGGAGCTTTTGGGAGCAGACAAATCAAAGGGGCGTTTTGATAGAGTTTAAAGATGTTGAAGAGCTAGACGACTATAAGATAGAGGAACTTATGGACAAGTATGGAGGCTTTGACCTTGTTATAGGCGGTAGCCCTTGTAACAATCTAGCTGGAGCTAATAGGGTTAGTCGGAGCGGACTTGAAGGAGACCAGTCATCACTGTTCTATGACTACTGCCGCATTCTAGAGGCTGTTCGCTGCAAAGCCTCAAGAATGAGGAGATAAGAGTATATCTCTTTGTGTAGATTACTTTTTTTGCATCAGTTGCGTTCAAACTTGTGTGTTGTTGCAGCTTCTTTTGTGCATCTCTAAGATGTTGTAAACCATACTAAATCAAACCAATAGCAAGTTTCTCTGTAACCAACCATAGTGGTCTACCCTAAACAAAACAAACCATACTAAACCAAACCAAAACCACGTCTTAGTTCTTACTCAAACAATCAAGGCTTCAAAATGTCGGAACAAGAAAGTCAACTCCAATACTTTCTTAACCAATAGCGTCTCGTCAACTTGAAGGCTTCTTTTTATTTTTTTTGTCTTTTTCCTACTCTTTTCGCCAACTCCTCTTTTCTTTGTTGTTTCCTTATTGACTTGACCTTTCACAAAGTATGTAACTATGTTCCTACCATTAAGTGAAGCTTAAAGAGACCATGTTCCTTCTCAGACCCAGAAGACTCATCTTACTTGACTTTGCTTCTCCTTCTCTTCCTTCTACTGATTCTATACCTGCTTCTTCACAATGCTTTTTGTTCAAAGGTACGGACCTAACTGCAATCTAATTACATCTGGATGTTTAGTTCTTGATCTGAATGAGTTCTTACGTATTATAGTGTTAAGAGTTTGGTATGTAAATTCAGGATGTTCCAAGAGCACATCATCCGCAGAGGCCGGAGGTATATTAGGAGACTTAACTCTTGGATTTTGCACTTAACGATGCAGTCTTATTGGGATGAGGTCTGTCTCCTTACTAAGCTTAGTTTTGTATCATTCTTCTAGAAACACACAGATTTGATTTTTTTTTCCTCTGTTTTTATATCCTTTGGTAAAGATTAAAAATTACAAGAATAAGGTGTTTGATAAACTGACTACAAAAGATGAGAAGGTGTTGGAGATTGGTATTGGGACAGGTCCTAATATGAAATACTTTGCTTCTCGTAATGTGAATATAACTCTTCTTGGTTTGGATCCAAATCCTAAAATGAAGAAGTATGCACGCAAAGCCGCTGTGAGATCAGGATTGAATCCTAAAAACTTTAGATTCATGCAAGGAGTGAGTATTGATTTAATGATGTCTACATCATACACTCCTGTTTTTTTTTTTTTGTCACAGCCCCCTTATGTTATACTTCCCTGACTCTGTCACTAGGTAGGAGAGGCTATACCATTAGATGATGGTTCTGTGGATGCAGTAGTTGCAACACTTGTTCTATGTACTGTCTCTGATGTCACTCAAACACTCAATGGTAATCCTTTTACTGATAAAACCATCACTGCTGATATCTCTAAACTAACCCTATCTATGGTAATTATAGAAATCAAGCGAGTGCTGAGACCAGGAGGAAGCTTTATCTTCTTAGAACATGTTGCAGCAGAAGGTACATATATAAAGTGAGAGAGGTGTAACATTGAGTGTATCTAATTGCAGAAAAAAACTAAATCATTATTTTGTGGTGGCAGATGGATCTCTCTTCAGGTGTTTGCAGAAACTGTTGGATCCAATGCAGCAGATATTAGCAGATGGATGCCATTTGACAAGAAACACCAGAGAGTGCATTTTGGAAGCTGGTTTCAGCGGTGGTGTGGAAATAGAGACGATGTCTATGTACAGCTTCCCGTGGATAACAAGACCTCATATCTACGGTGTAGCTTACAAGTAAAACTATATATCAAGTTTCAGCTCTGTTCAAATGCTTACAACATTAGTTATGGTTGATGTTGTTATCATACCAGTTTGACTCACGTTTGAATCCATGATTTTGGGTTTTTGGGACAAGAATATGCCTTTGGGCTTGCAGCTTCTAAAATCATATTGGGCCAGGCCAACCCTACATTTTCAACAAAATCACTTTTGGTATAAAACCAAGTTCAAAATTCTTTTCTTTTTAAGAGCACTTCCAATAGAAGGTTTTAAGCATTGGAATTCTATGGATGTATATGTTAATATGTGTATATAAACCTCATATCTATATACACATATATAACATAAACATATACACATACATCTTTAGAATTTCAATGGGTAAAATCCTCCATTGGAGGTGCTCTAAATGTTTCTAGATGTTTATGATTAATCAATAAGTGCTTCTCAAGTGTAATGCACTAGTACACCAACGGCAGTACCTTATAAATTAAATTTATAGTGGAAAGTTTTAATCTTTGTAGATCTTTCGGAAATGCTTAATTGACACGTTACACTCACAGATATTGATTATACCCAATTAAAGATGCTTTACAAGAAAAACGTTGCTCTAATTCTGTCATATTGTATATTTTATTTACTATATATACACAAATCAAAATCCTTTTACAAAAAAGTGTAAACGATTTGTTAGCAAAAAAAGACGATTACTAGAAAACGTTTGTATAAATGTAAGTATGTAAGAAGTCGACAAATAAAATGTAAGTGTGTAACGATCAGTTGGCAGGTCCAATATTTTTTTAAATGTCTTACAGTATTATATAATGCAGAAGACTATGAAATATGTATACAAAAATTACTGTATTTTAAAAAATAATTCTTAAAAATGGCGGAACATTCACTTTTTTTTTGCTCGCTGTCGACATTCAAAAAATGTTTTTTTTGGTCAACTGTTTAGGCATGTTTGCGCGGCATAAAACTACAAAATGGTAATAAGTATAACGAAACACCCGAAAAATTATTGAGAAATCTATAAAACTATCACCTATACGTTAATCTTTAAATATACCACCAAAAGATTTTTTTTTTAAATACCAGTTTTATAAAAGCACAAATGTATACACTTACTAATGTACTATGCTATGTATTTCTAATTTAGATGGATTCGATGAGTTTTCAATTTAAAACCAATTAATAATAATTAGATTGATCTATCTATCTTATATATTACTAATGATCTTTTCTAATTTTCGATGTAGGACATTTGTCTCTAATACGCTCATTCGAGATGATGGTTCTTTGAATTTAAATCTTTGAATATTTGGACAAAGAATAAAGGACTGCTTTGAACTGGATCGATAATGGAATAAGTTGGACTGTGTAGATCGGATTTTAATACCATGTTAATTTATATGACTTTTCAATCTAATACTAATTGGTGATAAATAAACTGATTCATCTATCTTATATACTAATAAAGATCTTTTTCAATTTTCTATGTGGACCTTTGTATCTGATAATTTCTTCTTAGAACATGTTGCAGCAGAAGGTAAATAATAAGTATGTGCATACATAATTAGATGTAAAGAGAAATCTAACGATATCTACTTGCATGAAAGCCTATATCAATTTTTAGTTGCAGATAGATCTCTCTTCATTTGTTTGCAGAAACTCTGTTGGATCCATTGCAGCAGATATTTGCAGATGGATGCCAGTTCACAAGAAACACAAGAGAGTGCATCTTGGAAGCTGGTTTCAGCAGTGCTGAAATAGAAAGCATGTCTGTGTATAGCTTCCCATGGATAGATAACAAGACTTTAGTGGAGTAACTTACAAGTAAAACTATTTATCACATATCAGCTCTATTCGGTTGCATACAATAGTGATTTATGCGTGATAGACAGATTTTGAACTCTGAAGAAGTTATTGAACAATTTATCACATATCAGCTCTATTAATGTTGTTTCATTAAAGAGAAAGGAAAATGCCTTAGAACAAGTCAACGGTAAAAACATTAGTGGTAGGATAAAGTTTCGGTTCTTTTGTGCCTCTTTGGATACAAAATATTATTTTCTAAATCAGAATTTCTAGAAATTGATTTCCAAACGAGATTTTTAGTCTAGAACTCAAAGCTCACACAGTCTAGAAAAACCATAATAAAGAACACAACTGATGAATAATGATATTGGCAATGTAGATGTGAACATTTCTATATATGTTTGAGCACCAACAAATGACATTTACCTTAAAATAGTTTACACAAAATGGGAATTAGTTTGAGCCTGAGATGGCTTATGTACAATCCATGAATATTAAGTTTGTATCCAGATCCAAGGATCCTTAAAGAAATATTGCATGAACAGATATCAGATGTGATAGAACTCAGTGATAGGTGCATCCGAGACCGGTCTTGAATCAAGCATGTTGAAATATTTGTATTAAATCCCCAATTTTTGTTTTTTAAAAAATATAGATATATATTTTTCCAAAAAAAAAAATTAAAATCCTTAAATTGGTTAAAAAAATTAATTGATAAATCGTCTATGACTCCTTAAACCTCATGACCGGTAATAGGTGCATCAAGACATAAGTACATTTAAAAAAATTATAACCACAGAAAAAAATCACTTTTAATTTGTAGCACACTTTGTCAATAATAAAAGTACAATTTCCTAACTAAACTATCTAATGTCGGCAAGAAAAAGTTTATCTAATTGATTTTCCTTTAACCTAACAAAATTATCCAATTCTTTTTCTTGTTTTGTTCATTAAGTTTTTTTCTATTTTTGATAAAGGTTGTTTTCTTCATTATGTTATTCTACGTTTGTCCACCATAACTATATCCGTTAGTGTTAGTAGTTGTGTTTTGAAGGGACCTCTTCCCAAAAGCATCTGCATCACCATTGTCATTTCGTGAAACATAAACAAAAAAGATAGAGGAAAAATAACAAGTGAGCTCGGGGATATCATGATGATTCCAATTAGTTCTTTAATAAAAATTTCCCGTTAATAACTCTGATAAGAATTTGAGCGGCAGATAACACAGAGTTTTTCAAAGTTTGAAAAATAATAAAAAGTATATGAACAATATATATATATATGAATATCAAAACATTATATTTTATTTTATGCATATAATATTTTATATATCAATATATTAAAACAATAAGAATAATAGAATATATTAGTTATAAAAATTAAAAATTAGTGATTAATAAAATACTTATTTAATCTCAGTCGTTGAGTTTCTTTCATTTACGCACAATCTAACTGCCATTTTAAGGCCACATATTTATAAATTAGGGAAAATTGGAAAATTAGAATACTCTCAACTTGGATTTGTCCATATAAGACTTTTAGAAGATTTTTTGGGAAAATAGGATTTTCAAATCTGTTAATACCATAATACCGTTAAAATTAATCAATTAAGGGAATTATAGATTTAAATTATAAATAAAACAAAACAAAAAAAAACAAAAAAAAACAAGAATCGGGACACATGGTTTAGAGGGGAAATCAATAACCCTAGTTTTGTTTTACATCATCTTCTCCGCCGAGCTCTCTCCCATGGCGATTCCGCCTTTTCTCTGACATAATTGTTTTCTGAAATCTGCATCTCTCACCTTCTCTAACTTTTCCGAGTCATCTTCCTCTTCCATCTCACCGAAGAAACAACAAGTAATCTAAGTCTTCTTCCTCAACCTTTCCGAGTCATCTTCTTCCTCGAACAGAGTACTAGTTTCCAATGTTACCATTCAACCACGTCTTTTTTTGTCTGCCACGAAACTCCACTCGTCATTGCAACTAGATATCCATTCACCGGATTTAACATAGATTAGAACCATCTTGTATTGATAAGAAGGAAAAATGAAGCTTTTTAATGAAGAATGTAAAACACACAGAGAAAACAGAGAAAAAGATCGTGAGGAAGAGAGAAAATCGTGGACGATATTTAGGAAACATCTCAACCGAATATGGAACCATATTTGCGGATTACCTAGAATATGTATACTACCTAAGGCAGAACACAGTAGAAAAGGTGGGAAACATATTATTTCTCAAGCGTCACATAAGGTAACATGCAGAATTGGTTATTTCACAAAATTTGGATGGGGTATGTCAATAAGTTATGGTTATAAATCGGTATCTAGCTTCACCTACACCAAAGACATATGCCTTGATTATAACGTTACCAATACTACCTTCGTTAGAATAGACACGAAATGTTATATTACGTTTCATACCTCGGGTTTATCTAGCAAGAACACTTACTATATGATTTCTAAACTGAGTAGATAACCAGAATGAGTATTCTATCTGTAGTTAGAAGATAAAAGAAAATATGATTCCACTTTTAAAAAATAAAAACTTAAACATATATATTTTCATACTTATATTTTCTAGCCTTCTCATATTTTTTCTATTTTGCAAAATTAGTTTACTATTTTTTTCACTAATAAAGGATAAAATATGTTCATAATTGCAAAGTATAAGAAGTTCTATATGGACAAATAAAAGTTCAAAGTATCCTAATTTTTCAATTTTTCCTATAAATTAATCAACTCTAGTAGTCCTCCACACAATCCATTAAAAACTAACCACACCTACTATAAGTCTATAATTAGTTACATTTGTATTATTTTCCATTAGTTTTTTTGTCAATAAAAAGGTATTTCTGTCACTTTTGACATAAAACCAATTCCAAAGTGCTCCATTGGTAAAGTACCTCTAGATGTTATGAAGAGTCAGCAAGTACCTTTCAATGTAATGCACTAGTATACCAATACCTTATAAATTTGTTAATTTGTAAAGAATTATTTTTACTTAATTTTTCAAGATATTTTGGAGATGCGTAATTGACGCGACACATTACACTCACATATACTGATTATACACAAATAAAGATGCCTTACGAAAAGGTGTTTGGAAAGAAGAAAACAAAACATTACGAAAAAGAGTTTGGAAAGAAGAATATAAAACCGTCTTGCTGCACAATGACATTTGAAAATCATATTTTAACTAGTAGTTTGTTTTTTTTTTTTAATCATATTTTAACTAGTAGTTGGGAGGTCCAAACCTTTTAGATTACATAATGCAAAACACTCGAGGTCTCTGTGACTATCCGGGATTTATTTAATATCTGTACAAAACATTACTTATCTTTTTAAAATTTATTAAAAACTTTCATATATTAACTTTA